TTGAACATTTAAATTTCTTAGGATCTTCCTTCACAGGACAGTCGTCCTTTGCGTGAGAGGAATCACCACAATTCATGCATTTAGCTGGCATGTAGCAATTTTTAGTTCCGTGACCCCATCCCTGGCACTTACGGCACTGGGTGAGGTTTTGGAAATTTCCTCCAGTCTTCCTGAAGTGTTCCCACTTCACTCGGACATGGAGCATAAGGCTAGCTTTTTCTAAGGCCTTAAGGTTGTTTAGTTCACTAGACTTGAAGTGAACTAAATAAAAATCATTAGAAATCCCGTTGCGCGAATCGCCAGGACGGGATTTCATTTTCATTTTGATTACTTGGAGTGGCACAACTCCAAGTAATTTTGCCAGTTCATCTTTGATCTGATCCAGGGATTCACCACTGGGCAGTCCTTTCATGACAACCTTGAACACACGTTCAGTTTTGGTGTCGTAAGTAAAAAATTTGTGCTTCTTCTCAGTAAGATACTTGAGAAGACATTTAAATCCGTCCAAGGTTTCAGCCAATACACGGCATTCACCCCGACGTCCAATTTGTAGTGAAAACTTAACTTTCACGAAATTCAAAAGTTCCATGCGAAGAGCATGGAAATCGGTAGTGGTTATCACAATAGGGGGAATCTTTTCCTTCTTGGCATTAAGCCGGGAAAGTTTACTAGAATTTTTCTTGGATGATGGATCATTCTCATCATCCGTGAGCAAATCAAATTGATTACTCAAATTAATTTCTTCAGAAGGGGGGTCAAGAGTTTGCCCCTTTCTTTTGCGTTTAGGCGCCATGGCGGCAGTAAATTTTTTATCCAAATCGACTTCCAAGCAGATTACTATAAGAATCTGAAGGATCGGAGAGGAATTTTCCAAATCGATATCCAAGAAGGATTACCTCGGGTAGGGTCCAAACAAGGATCGAAGAGGAATAAGAGGAGTTGAACAAGGTAGAAAATTTTTACAGGTTGAGCACTGAAAAGTGCTGTTTAAATTTGTTGTAGCTTTAGGTAGTAGTAACACTTCCTTAAGCAAAAAGCAAATAGATCCGCACGGCAAGAGAGCACGATGCGGACTGGACAAGGCGATCTCTGATGCTCCGCTTTATTCGACGACTCTTCTGTATGTGTGTTGAGGTGGCTCTCGTATTTATTATGCTTGTCTCCTTTGGCCTTACCAGCCCGGCCACTAGGTGCATTCAATGCTGTGTCGATGATTTCGGTGACTTCGCTTGCCGTTAAAACTATTTCAGACAAAAAATCAGTCAATGTGCGTCAGCGTGATTCCGTCTTGTTGCCTCTTGAAATGAACCCACTCTTTTTTCATAGATGGTGGTAACTTCTCGACCAGCTCATGGATTAGTAAAGGGTTCACCAGGTGATCGTTCAGATTCGTTGCTTCGAGGTGATCACATAACTGTTGTACTATCATGCCGAAGCTGACGAACGTGTCGAATCGGTCCGCTTTTGGAGGATCAGCCTGCCGCACTTTCCTAAACAGTGTATTCAGTAAATGTTCGGGTCGCCCGTATAACATCCACAACGTTTCCATTATTTGCGGAACTGCTTCGGGCAACAACATCGTACTACAAACCGCTTCTCTGGCAGGGCCTCGCAAGCTCTCCTGCAGTCGCACAAGGTTCTCCAAGTTCGAAAATCCGCATGCTTTCGTCGTGGTGTTGAAGCTGCTGATAAACATCGGCCATTCTTCTGGCCGACCGGTGAAAATCGGCAACTTTCGCGAAAAAACTGTCGAGCTGATATTTGTGGCCTTGTCGGTGCCATATACTTCCGGTTTTCTTTCCTTTTACGCTTCTTCCTATCCTGATCTCCTTCTTCACTCTCCGAACTCGCTGGTCCCACTCGAATCCTCCTCGATTAAGTCCACGTTGCTTGTATATTCTTCTTCTTCTTCCGCCTTAGCCCTTCGTTTGGACACTTTCCTACGGCCGCTTTCGCTGTTAACGGTTTTAGTTCGTTCCTTTTCTTCTTCTGTTCCGCCGTGGAAGTAGATGGCTTCGGAATTACCACTGGAGTGGAACTCACTAGCCCTTTATTTTGCCCCTTCTAGATCTTTGCTGACCGCCTTCAATTTGCTTTCGCCCCTTCCTTCTTCTGTTTTTCCAGGTCCTTGATTTCCGTTTCCGTCCGTTTTTCATCTTCGTACAGCTCTTTCAATTGCTTCTGTAACCTCTTTTTTCCATTCCCTTCTGCTTCTGGAAAGCCGCCTTCGATGCGATCTTCTTCGCTTATTTTCGAAATCAGCTTTGGCCTTCGCCAATGCCAGTTTCTGGTTCATCTTTTTCTTCAGACGCTCTTTCTCCAACAGCAACCTCTTCGTCTTCCGAAACTTCTTTAGATCCACCGACATTTGCTTCATTCGCTTTTCCTGTTCCGTCGTCATTGTCATCGACGAAAATCGCATCTTCCGGCTCACTTTCATCATTATCGTCGTCGTCTTCAGTATCCGGATTACGACAAGAAGGACACCTCCAATTCTGATCTTACTCGACTTGGATCGGCAACTTCGGCGCTACCAAAGTGAAGCCATTTATCGCAGCCTTCGCAGAACACCATCCGACTCTCATCATGATCCGGACGGCTACAAATCTAGCAGTTGTAGGCCGTCTCCTCCATATTGAGGTTAGATCGTTATTGATTTTTGAGAAAATGTTCGGATCACAATAAAGAACTATTTTTTTGCAGCAGTCGATTTGTAGACAACAGCTCAAAACTAAAATATATATTATGATACTTACATCAATAGATCTAAATTACTGTATTTAACTACTTTTACTAAAATAAATCGATCAAATTTAATAATTTCCACATCCAGAATGACTTTTCTCCGAACTAATGTACTAATGTTTTTATTCTGTTTTCTTCGTTGTTTCTATCCAGCTGCTGCTGACAGCTACACTCAGGTCCGCATCCTCCCGCTCTGCGCATCTAGTAGTCGCCAGCGATGACGTCACTTGTGCCTCAACAATCTGGTTCATCATGTTTGTGTTATTGATTATTCTAATTTAATATTTACGTCTTTCAACTAGTGTACATAATACCTCTTTGGGGGTGTGTTTTGTTTGAATTGAAAAATTTGATAACTAACCTATTTACAAATAACTTAGTCTAACGTGCTAGGATCCCTAATGATCTGTTGATTTAACCTCAGACAGGTGTATCTGAAAGGGATGACATTCTCCGTTCTTCTAGTGTCTGAATTCCAACCAGGCGGTGGATCTCAGAATTCCGAATCCGTGGTGGACTCTTTTGGATCATCCTAAGGCTCTCGTTATGGATCCTTTGAAGTTTAAGGTGATGCAGAGCAATTCTCTCATATTGGCGTATCGTATTCGATTACGGGTAGGATTATTTGTTTATAGAGAGCAAGCCTATTTTTCAGGGACAAGATGGATTTCCTGCTGATAAGCGGATATAATGATCTTATCAAGATGTTGCATTTGGTGTTAGTTTTGTCAATGTGCTCCCTGTTTGCCTTCCTATGCGGACCACCCGCATCCTATTCTTCCCACGAGATCAGGCTAAAAGTAAATTTTTCGTCTATGTCCTGATTATGCTACCTTTTTTTTCTGCAATATTAATCCTGTCTTTGTCCGTCTTAAGTAACACTTTTCTGTGGTAAAATGCATCATTTAGAGATTAGTTTCCTATCTAAAGTATATTTTGGTTAGGGTGAGAACCTCTCTCACGCCAACCTGACTCCAACTCAACGCACCCTGTCATGGTAAATGATATTCCCAAATGCCACAACTGGACACACATAGCCAGAATGGAAGCATTTACCCTTTTCGAAAATGAAGAAATAGGGGGGATGTGGGCAAGAAGACCATACGAGGCTAGATGGGCCACCGTTCGTTTGGACATACTACCTATTAACCCCATCTTTTTTATTATAAACTTCTTGAAAATGCTTCTAATATGCATCTCCATGAAAACCGTATCAAAATTAAATCTCTAAAATATTGTAAGATTTATAGTCAACAAAACAAGCATTGCATTCACTGTATCGCATTTTACCGATCAGCTGGTTCTACAGCGAGCAACATACGTAACAGTTGCTAAAAGACCTTATGTTTCTATTTCATGTGATTCCTGAATGTTATTTTCTAGTAAAAATCGGTCAAAACGCAGTGGCGTCTCGTAACCTTACTTTTTACCTGGTCAACGACTTTGAAAACGTTATTTAGAATCATAACTATATTCAAAACGATCCCAAAGTTCATAGGGTCTTCTAGTTTCACTCATTTGTTTCGAGCTTATGTCGACAAACCTGATGTCAGTGCCTTTATAAAAACGTACTACGACGTGACTAAGAAATTAATGGGAAGAATTTGTGATACCATCACTTCGGGCCACTATCTTGGTCTCCCATGCAGGCCTACAGCATGAGATTAAGCTCTCCCGCTTTCGGCAAGGCGCTTAAGAATGGCCTACGGGAGGGGGCAATATCCTTAAACTTGAACACAAAACTAAGATCAGGAGTAAGATAGTATATTAAACAAGATTTAAAAATTCAAGATCCTAAACTTAGGAAACCCGTTAAAACAATAGGAAATTCGTGCTAATTGCGAATTTACGATTTAATAACATTGAATTGCAATTCAATCAATAAATAAATTTCTCTCAAACAATATATTTGTAGGAATTATTTTTAACCCTCTCGTCCATGACATAATAGAATCAATTGAAATCCCAACCAAGCAGCACCGAAACAAAATATTTCGACTTGTTTACCATTGAGTTTGTCAAGATTAGTATACATTTTCTTCACAACAAACGCCTATAAATAGAACAAGAGATTTTTGCTCGCGCCTCAAAACCTTTAGTACCGTCGAAGACGAGTTTACAAACACCTTCGTACTCTAACAACAGTACAGTTTTTATTTTTGTTTTGTTCCGCTATAAGAATTTGGTTTTTGTATTGACTATTTACATAATTCCCGGTACAATTTTATTGTAATGACCAACAGAAAGAAACTTACCTTCGCATCGCTAAAGTCATAGTCCGGCTCGAAGGCGGAATTGAGCGTTGCAATCAGATAGAAGAGCGTCTTGCGCGAGATGGTATCGCACAAGGTTGCACCTTCGTCCCCGGACAGCGAGCTTCGCAGCACCTGCGGAGAAAAGTCCTGCAGGGTTTGCGGCGGCGACAGAGCCTGCAAATCCGTAGGGGCCTGTTCTGACGTGAAACGTTTGTACAGGGCCTTGTCGTTGCCTGCCATCTTGCAGGAGTAACTTTCGATGCGACCATGAATAGTACTATCGCCGGTCAGAATGTGAAGCGCATTGTTAATCGCCTCAAAGCTGGTGCTCTCCAGTAGCTTCATTTTGATCAAATGGTAGATGTTTTGGTTATGCGATGAAATAATGAAAAAGAGTGGAAATTTGCTTTCGTGTTGTTTTTCCTCTAGGTGGTATCAGTGTGTAAGAGACGTTAAGCTTATGTAACGGTTTTAAGGTAGCTAAGATGTTGGTTTAATTTTATTTTGAACAATTTTCTACACCCTCAAACGATGCCTTTATGCTTAAAGAACTAAGCTAGTGTGCTGTTGGTTCACAGCAGCAAGATCCTCCACACAGCGGAGATGACTCTTTAACAACAGTGATGATGCACACTCGTAGCGGCAAACAACTGTGGAGCTGAGTACTTGACCATCTTGGGCGATCTCTCTCTTATTAAGCTGTTGTTGACTCGAGCGATTCTGAACATGGTCGTTGGGTGCACACAGAGTCTCTTCTTTAATATTTTGGTACTAGCGATTCGGCGGCTTCTGTAGTGCTGCGTACGCTGAGGGCACATTTAATACGGATCGAAACTTGGCGGTAACTTTACAAGATTACCGCTGGGGCAGTTCGATCACTTCTTTCCGAAGAAGGTAAACTGATCCACTCTTTCACACGGAAGAGAAAGTCCCACTTTTAAACTAACGAGTCCGGCTCGTAACTTAGTCCACTTCTTTATGTGTGTACACTTTTATCGATTCTTCACCCTTTGCGAATCGCGCGTAGAGGGCAACCACTTCCAAAAACAGAAACAAGTCAGTAATAATCATGCACTTCCTCAACGGGAGTGTTTTGCGTCTCACTCTGCTTCTAGCACTTCAAAATATTCTCGCACTACGTCTTCTACTGCTCCTCTTGTGCCTCCACAAACAAGCTTCGGCTAGCCCTTCCTCTAGCGTTGAGTCATAATATTAAATGAGCACACACAATCAAAGCATATTTTCCGCGCGGTCAATACTTTATTTTTGTCAACACACGCAATACCTCTCCGGACGTGTCTGGTATGACTTGAATGAAACAAAACCAGAACTCACGCACACAACCGTAGGAGCTAGATCCACTACAGCTACATATAGATGTACAAGGAGGACTTATATTTTTCCATCATTTTTGCTGCTGCTGGTGCTACTGGGCCCCTTGAGGAACGACTGAATTGAAAAATTTAATGCTGTTTTCGCCTTGAAATTCTTGTTTCACACGAAACACTCGCACACCATTCGATTCACGAACTTTTGATTGGCACTTTACGCGACACTTGGATCACTTTCGAACGCGATTTGCACCGTTTGGTTGCTATTTTTGTTTTGAGAAATTTTTCGACGGACCGTACTCGAGCGAAGCTTGCGATTGAATTGAAGAAGAGGAATGATTATGAATGAACAGTATCATTCGTGCTCTTTTTGTCGCGTGAACTGAACACGCTGGTGCGAAAGAGAGAAGAATACACAGACCGAGAGCCGGGGTATCAGTTTGAGGCTTTTGTAGGGGGGCAGTCAAAGGTTAGGAAACAATGTCACAATGTGAAATTTTTGTTTGATTGTGTTAATTGATTGAAAACTGATTAAAAATGTTTGAAAATGAAAATGAGGTTGCAGTAAAGATCTTTGCAAAAAAATGAATTATTTGTAGCGTATATTATGGAGGCACTTAAAGGTCTTTTTCACTTGTGTGTTCTACACGCCGAAAAAATGTTCAGCATTTTGGGATCACTGATGAGCTTATTTCTACACGGAAACATTAATATACTCATCGTTGGTTACACTTTATCCAGTTTTTATAGCTGAAAGTCTCTTTAACAAAGAAAGATAAAGAAAGATAAAGATACAGTTTTTATAATAAATATATCTCGAGATCTATCTCTTTTCTTCTGAAGTATCTTTCGAGAAATCCCGCACATATTCATTATAATTTGTAAAGGGTTAAGTTTTAATCATCGATGAGAATATAAAAGTTTTCGTGTAGAGGTACACACAGAGTTTAGATTACCGAATTTGGTAAAATTTTACTGGCTTTTCAAACAGCTGAGTTTTCAGCAATGCCGGCGCCGATGGTATAGTGGTAAGCGTGACTGCTTTCTCACCCCAATGGGTCTGGGTTCAATCCCAGCCGAGGTCAGTGGTATTTTTCTGAGGCATAAAAATTTCTGGTCAAGTCTTCCTTCGGAAGGGAAGTACAGCCGTTGGTCCCGGCCCATGTATGTTGTGAATGGGTGCGATATCCTACGCAGGTGTGGAAGCTACCTTCCTGCACATTCGGTTGCCGTCAATGGATGGCAATCGATGTCCGTCGGTGATTGGCACTAGATTGCGGAACAGAGACCGACGTTAAATAAAAGAAAGAAGAAGAAGAGTTTTCATCAATCAATCCAGTAGTTATTAATTTTACTGAAAACTACGTAAATCGCATAATCTCGGAACTGTAAAAAAATACTGTTTAAGTCAGTAAAGAAATTGCTGTCTATATCAGTAATTTATTTGTTTACATTTGTTTTTGCTGAGAAAAATATTTTTTTGAGTCTTCAAAACTATGGACATTTCAAAATTGACAAAATCTTACAACAAAAACTGTTCGTAAAATATTTGAACTTTTTGTTAGTACCAAGGGGTGATCACTCTACACTAAGAGAAATTCAGTGATTATTTGTATGTGTCCCACACATGAATTTTTGCTATATATATATGTGTCGGATACATAGTTCTTATGTGTACACATACAATTCATGTGTAACCACACATACTATTCATTTGACTTCTGTTTATGTGTGCACACATAATAATCATTTGGAGTTTTACATGGATATTCGCCAATATAAATGTGTCGAATTTTATGAGTGTACACACGCATTTTGCACCAACCTTGGCACCAACTGTTATTCTCAGTGTGTCTCAACCGAGGTGCAACTGGTCCAACTGTGCCGCAGCAGTGTCGAAAGTGCCATCAACCGGTGGAAACTAACGATTTTAATTTGGCTCACACTTGACTACCCGCATAAACGCGAACCATAAATTGACCCTACCTAAAATGGTTAAAAATTGTTTATAATCCCTGCTAAACTTTAACTGAAATGGTTATGGAACTTTACATGAACGTTTAATGATAAAGTTTCAACCTTATGTATTATGGTTTTTTGGAACTGGACCTTACAAATAATGGGTTGTTAAGAACCATTACCATTCCAAATTCTTGTTTTCTCCATACATTTTCAGAAAGAGAACTATATAAGAACGTTTTTACTTATGATTTGAGAACATTAATGGTAATGGTTATGGTAGTCAGTAAGGTCCATTAATGGTTTTGTATTATCGCTCAACTTTACGTGGAATATATCGTGAATTGGTAATCAGTAAATTACAGGCAACCAATTCGCGATATATTCCACATAAAGTTGATCGATGTTACAAAACCATTCGTGGAACTTACTGACTACCATAACCATTACCATTAAAGTTCTCAAACCATAAGTTAAAAGGTTCTAATATAGTACTCTTTCCGAAAATGTATGGAGAAAACAAGAATTTGGAACGGTAATGGTTCTTAACAACCCATTATTTGTAAGGTCCAGTTCCAAAAAACCATAATACATAAGGTTGAAACTTTATCATTAAACGTTCATGTAAAGTTCCATAACCATTTCAGTTAAAGTTTAGCAGGGATTATAAACAATTTTTAACCATTTTAGGTAAGGTCAATTTATGGTTCGCGTTTATGCGGGTAGCCGTTCGGTCCCTGTCCCAAGTACATCGATTAACCAGAGCTGAGCCAAAAAGTTGAGCATGTTTCGTCGGGAACTTTTGGTCTATGGTGCCATGACATCGTGATGACCTTGTCTGTGAACAAAGGAATTTTTGGCAACTCAGTATTTTGACAGCTCGATTGTATTTATTTGTTTCAAATCAAATTCCCAGCCAGAACCGAGAATGGTTTTGAAGTTTTTACATAGTAAAATTGTAGCAAATTATTTCGCTGCCCTTTTTTCGTTCCAACGTCAATTGTAGCACCTGCACCTGAACGAGGTTTGAGCCGTTTCTGTGTTTTTAATGGTCTGTTGGAGCTGTATGAAGAATTAAACCCAATCCTTCTGCGTGAGAGCCCCAGCACGAACCGCTTCCTCATCTGAGATATATTAAAGTGAGCTGTTGTCCCGCCTATTGTTGGCGTTTTCAGTGCCAGCGGACTGACTTGAATACGAAACACAATATTGTTCTTTATTTATTTTTTATATGTTTGGATAGAATATTGATGCATTGCATAAATATATGAATTATGATTTATTTCAGTCACTGATCATTTCATATTTACGTACATTAAATAATTATGTTACTACACACAAAAAATAATCGTTAATAAAATTAAAAAACCATTGGTAGAATTAAAAGTTTGCGTTGGTTCTTTTTGGTAGAAAGTCTTTAGAATTTAAAATAAAATTTCGCCTACTATCAATTCAAAAGTTAACCGCTCCCTACTTTTAAAAGTTCAAACTTTCAAAACAAATTGTACTTTTGTGTTCAACTGCTGCTCAACTTTTTGGAGCCTAAAGTTCCTCGTGTGCTTTCTATAGCTTCTAAAGTAGCCAGAATGTTGTGTTGGAACTTTATATACACTACATGGAACATGAAAGTGGGTTTTATCGTTGAATGCGGGACTTTTGGTTGCTTGTGAAGAAAGTTCTGTCGGAAATTTATTTGAACTTTATGAAACTTGAAAGTTCTGTCGGAACTTTATTTGAACTTTATGGAACTTGGAAGGGAGTTTTATCGTTGATTGCGGAACTTTTGGTTACTTGGGTATTTAAGGTGTGCGTGAAATATTCTGTGAACACTGCGATACCCGGCTACTCATCTCGCTAATACACAACTGCTTCAGTGACTTGGTCCGCAGGTCCGCTCTGACATGCAATCAAATCGCTGCTGACCGGACATCTTAATGAAGAAGTAGTTGGTGAACTGCAACGCCAAATCTGCCTACATTGAATCCGTTAGCATTCGAAACTTTTATTCCTTTATTTAACGTCGGTCTCTGTTCCGCAATCTAGTGCCAATCACCGACGGACATCGATTGCCATCCATTGACGGCAATGGAATGTGCAGGAAGGCAGCTTCCACACCTGCGTAGGATATCGCACCCATTCAAACACACGTGGGCCGGGACCAACGGCTGTACTTCCCTTCCGAAGGAAGACGTCACCAGAGATTTTTATGCCTCAGAAAAATCCCACCGACCTTGCATTCGGCACCTGTCCTGAAGGTTATCCCAACGCACGAAGCCAGCATTCGCCGTATCGTGGTAGGTGACTCTCCCCTCCAGTTCACTCGGCTGATTCTTGCCCTTCTGCACATATGGAAATCACATCATCGAATCGTTGAACATCTTTGGCATTTTCTTGAAGCAGCAAGCAGGAATAAGTAAAGCTTTAAGATCTGTTACATTCTGAGCAGTTTCGTAAAAACTGATGATTCGAAAGAAGTAAACAATGGCTTGAAACACATTTACCCACAGAGGCAGTGCAGAGTTGCCAGTAAATTTAAAGATCTTGAAAAAAATTCAGCCATGGGTGCCAAACAGTGCCCATCAGTGTGCCCAACTGTATTTTTGGTTAGTACGTTTTTCATGTAAATTTAACACACAAAACAGTAATTTTAAATCGTTTTGTGTGAAAAGTTTACCAACAAAACAATTAAAAAAAAATACCAAAAGCTCTGAAGCTCTACGCTCTACGATTTTGTCAATTTTCAAGTGTCCATAGTTTTGAACTAGGTCTGGCAAATACGTAAGCACCGACAAACCGACATGACACTTAATTCTGACTTATGCCCGAACATCGTTAACGGCCTATTTAAATGTGCAGTGATCCGAACTGTCAAAACCATAGGATATTTTTATCTAGATAAAAATAATTTCTCCAGAATAGATCAGACACGAACCAATTCATAACTTTTGCAAGCGGGTTCATGGCTTAGCTAAATATTTCCCGCAAACACGGAGCCAGATGTCAGTAGTGTGCTTTGGTCAGAAATTTTATTGTTTTTGCTATGGTCATTCATGTCGGTTTGTCGGTGACGTAAGTACCATAGAGGTAACTCTAAGACCAGAAGGTCCCGAAGAAACGAGCTCAACTTTTTTTCTCAGCTCTGGTACTCTCTTCGGTCCCAAGCTAATCGATTCACCCCTCGAAACATAGGAAAATTCACTAACCCCTCATTTTATCTGTCAAACTTTCATAGCGAATCAAAACAAACATTGTGTAGTACTAAAATTTTGACTAGAATGGGATACGTTAATCGTTTGCTTGGGACCAATGGGCTAGTCAAGTAGTGAGCCAATTTAAAATCGTTAGTTTCGTATTGATTG